TTGTAAAACCACCACTGTATCAGTGTGAACCATGCTTTATGCTTTAATGATTCATGTGCATCACACAAACACACAATTTGTGTCAAAGGGATACAAAGGGATAACTAGTACTGTGGAGTTATCAGTAATCAGTATCTAACCTGCATTAGAAATTGCTCAGAGTGATCAGTTTGGAACAGCAGAAAAGAGTTTGTTTTATTAATTTTACACCACTGTCACATTTGAATAAGGCAGTTAAATACCTGCAGTAGCAGACAGTATTTACACCCACAATATTTAAACTACTTCATTTAGCACCATGTAGGTTGTCTTTTAGTTTTGCAAAAAGCAGAAATCTGCTTTAGTGTTTGTTTAGACTATCCTTTAGCTCAACACTCTATGACACTGAACTGAAAAGGCTCAGAGTGGTTTCTACTGCATGTAAGATACTGATTACTGATAACATCTCCACAATCATCTTAGTGCTTATCTCTGGTGTTCACAGCAATATTTAAACGTTGTATTGGGTTTGGCACAGTTCAATTATGGTAGGTTAACTGAGCATGGTGTTGAGTGTGAATGTGCCTGGTTGATAGATTTAATCCTGTGATGGTTTGTTGATCTGTCCATGTTGGGTCCAGCTGCTTGTTTGGTGGCAAGCTGCAGATCTCTGCAACACGAATGACAAATTAAATTAATAACCTTGTGCTCTTTGTGATTTTATGAAAGCTGTACCAAATAGTTTAAATTCTAATTTTGTTACAAATGCAGATGCAACATCCACAACCTTGTTGGAAATGCAAGCATATGATGATATGTTTAAATTATTGAACAGCTTGGATTTATTTATTTTTTAATCCATTTTTGTCTTTTATTCTACAGCGGAGCCCCTGGTCCAGGTGAACGGGAAGCCCAGCTGCTGCTTCTTCAAGTTCAGCCCTAAACTTATGTTCACCAAGGTGCTGAAGGCCCAGCTGTGGGTGTATCTGCGACCGCTGCAGCAGACCTCCACCGTCTACCTGCAGATCCTGCGACTGAAGCCCGTCACAGAGCAGGGCAGCCGCCACATCCGGATCCGCTCATTGAAGATCGAGCTCAACTCCAGGGTGGGCCACTGGCAAAGCATTGACTTTAAGCACGTGTTGCAGAACTGGTTCAAACAGCCCCACACCAACTGGGGGATCGACATCAACGCCTTCGACGAGAGCGGCAATGACTTGGCCGTCACCTCGCTGCGACCCGGGGAGGAGGGGCTGGTAAGGATCCTCAGACCTGTCCTCGGGCATGGGGAGGGAAAACAACACAGTTCATTTTTGTGCAATCCAATATTTCAGTCAAATACAAGCAAAGTCCTGCTGAGAAACAGAGATTTACCATTAGATAAGGAAGGGCCTGAAGATAAGGAGTCTCTTGAGATTTCTAATGAACTGCATGCATTACAATATGAGTAAATTATAGTAACATACATAACTTTAAATCATTATCAAGTCAGGAGTGAAGTGACCAAAACTATAAAAGTAAGAAATGTCAAAAGCACAAAGCAACCAGCTCTTTTTAAATAAAATTAAAGTTGTCTGAACACATCACAGGTGTGGATACCTGATCTTTCACAAAAACTGCAAACATCCACAGATAAATATTAAATGGCTCCTAAAACACATGGCTACAAAAAGATTTTGAGATCATTTTTTACACCTGACAGGTAGGATTTGCACCTAAAAGTAAGCAATAATAAACTATAATATGTCTCAGATAAATAAGAGTTAAAAAATATTAAGAAAGACAGGGAGTGGACAAACACGTGTTTTACCTTGGGCCTCAAAATGACCAAATCTGCATCTGCTGGTAAATAGAAACAATCCAAACTGAAAGAATAATTAAATAGTAGAAAGATTGGTACAGATGTCATAGAGCTAATTCCAAATATGTATTTCAAACATGTTTTAAAGGGATCCATGATTAGTTGTAACATTAGATTTTATTTGATAAACATTTATTTTAGCTGTAAAATAAAGACTGTAAAAATACTGTAGGCTGTTTAATTTAGTAAATTTTTAAAAATATATTTTAACACGGATGGAGCCATTTTATTAACACACAAAGCATTCTGGGTAAATGATGATGTGGATAGGTCCTCGGTGTGAGCGAGTTGTATCAACCCTGAAGGTTAATCTTGGACAAGATCTGATGATTGACTCTTTTAAATGAAACCAGAGAGCGTTGACAGAGAGGAGAAGGTAGAAATGACTCAGCCTGTAACTGAAAATATAAATGGAGGACAACAGAGCTGCTTCATGGAAGAACATCAGCTTAGCCTGTTAGCCATTGTACTAGCGCCAACGCTATATTGCCTTACATGTATTTGCTCGGCGCCAGAGCGACAAGATAACAACCTAAACTGAGGTCCTCCATCTACATTTTCAGTTGTAGACTGAGTCATTTCTACCTTCTCCTCTCTGTCAACGCTCTCTGGTTTCATTTAAAAGAGTCGATCATCAGAAATTGTCCAAGATTAACCTTCAGGGTGGATATAGCTCGCTAGCAGTGTCGCACCGATGTCCTATCCACTTCATCATTTACCCAGAATGCTTTCCTTGTAAATAAAATGGCCCCGTCTGTGTAATATATTTTTTAACTTTTAGTTAAAAAATGATAAAAACTAAACAGCCTACAGTATTTTTACAATCATTATTTTACAGTTAAAATATGTGTTTATCAAATAAAGTCTAACGTTACAACTAATCATGGATCCCTTTAATGTTCAAGTTGATCGTCATCTTGAATTGCAGATAAAAAAATCAACARAGCGCACAAAGAGGGAATAAAACAGGAAATTTAAAGCATATTCAGAATCTTGTTTGAAATAAATGTGTGCCAAAAGAAATCCATTTGACACAGAAGTTTTAAATGTTGCAGTCAAGTGTTTATTGGTAACTGAATGCAAATACAATAAAATCAGTAATCTTTAAACCGGCCGCAAGTTGACTAAATGTTTTGTGATAAAATTGGTAATAAAATAACCACAAAGAAAATTTATGAGGTGTTTTGTGATGTGAAGCCATAGACAAATGGTAAATGGTTCTGATTTCAAGCTTGTGGTTGTCAAAAAATATTTAAATATCAAATGTTTTTTTATGTCTCAATGTACGTATATTGTTTCCTACTTTGCATAAAGATGCAGATCTATTGTTGTGTTTTGAAAAAAAAAAAAGATATGATACATAAAGCTACCCAAATTTGTATTAAGACTGGCCTCTGATTCGAGTTAGTTAAACTGAATCTTAGTTATTAAAGTTAAAACAAACAGAACAAAAGTTTAAAAAATAGCAAAGTGTGCATAATAAGCTATGGCCAAACGATAAATTTTGCAAAATTGTACCTGAAAGTTAAAATTAGAAAGACAAGATCTAACCTGAAGAAATATACAAAAAGTATAAAATACAAAAGTATAAAAATCACAAATATAAGCACAATATTCTCGATGAAGCCAAATGTTTTGATAAATTGTTATTTTTCTTTTGAATATTCCCTCTTTACTGAACAGAGTTGTCATTTGTTTTACACTGGATGCCATTCCAGACACAACCTGGGCTCAAACCTGCCACCTCAGGATTATCAGATTGTGGCACTGACCACTGAGCTACCGTGACCCCCAAACATTTTGATACATGGAGGTTAAAATAAAAAAGTATGTGGAAGTAGTTTGATTGCAAAAAAAGGTATAAAAGAAACCACAAGCAGGAAAACCAGAGTGTGAATGCTGAGTCAGTGCAACTAAAAACGCAACCTCTTGTTCATCAAAACAAAGTAAACAAGTTATACACAAATCAGCCATGATCATTTTATATTTAGTTTAATTCTGACCGATGCTTTGTGTTATTGTGCTCACATCAGTTGGGTGAAAGAGTATAAACCCCTACAGCTAAATATAACACATAACACATGCAACTTTGTCTTGGTTCATGTGTTTGCTCAACATATTTTTTAAATGGTAAACCTCTAGGTTTATTATAATAAATGAGTCTGCTCAAATGAGTTCAAACTGCAGTGTCAAAGCGAGGGCCATTAATCTAGTTAGGGTTACTGAAACTGACAGTTAAATCCAACATCTTTGTTGAATTATGTAGGCCACTTCCCGGCCCTAGTTAAGCAACACCAAATATTTACCAAGCAGTTATTTGGGTCAGATCTTCACAACACACGAGGGGTCAGCTCTGGTGTCTTGGCCAATAAATTGCTGCCCTCTGCGCACACAGCAGTGTGCAATATTATTCCTAAACAAAGAGGAAAGAAAGAAAAGACCCAGAACACAGACAAGTGTACAATAATATCCCAAAACAACAAGCAGGAAAGGCAAACTCGGCTTCTCCTTGATCCGCTGAGTCTTTATTCTAAAATAAAAGCTTCAAAGGCCACCCTGACACGGTCTCACCCCGGCTGCCTCTCAGCTTATTTCCTCTTTTGAATGCGTCACAAAAAACCTCTGCAGCAGCCCAGCTGGAATCACTGCGGGGAGAAGGAGGCTTTGGAAAACAAACATGCTGAAGTAAAATATTTGATCTGCTTGCTGCGCCCAAAGGTCAAGGTTATGGTAGCCTGCATGTGACCTCGTGGGTCAGAGGTCAAAGCAAGCATACACACTCAGCCATTAGCCTTAGAAAAAGCTAGTTTCTGTCAACGCTCATTGAATCAGCCCTCAGGGGTGTTTATTCTTAAAAACGACCAAATGATCAGATTAAATTTCTGTTCATTGTGAGATGAGATGGGGTTGAATATGAAGCAGGATAAAGTCTCTTCAGGAACAAAATCATTAGATTTTATGTTTGATAAGAAAATGAGCCGTTTTTATTGATCATCTAAATCAATGAGGCAGTCTTTTGTTTTAGCTGATTTACAATAATTCTGAGGACCTTCAGCTAAAAAAATTAAACAATAAAAAATAAAGACGTCACACTGCCCATGGGTCCATTTCACTTCATTTTTCAAACGTATTTATTTATTGAATCTGTAATAAATTGATAAATTACTAAAATCCATGGATTCTTCACAAGTGAAAATCTTTTGTTTTACTTTTATGAAGCCATTAAAGGGTTTGACTGTTTTTATTACATGCTGACATGAGAACCAAACTCGTGCTTCAACCATGATTCGGCTTTTATCAAGTCTGACTTTATCAGGTGGTTGTAAAAATAAACAGTGTCTTACCTGTGGAAGACAGCAGTTAACACAATCTCAGCTTGGAAAATTAGAGTTGTTTTATTGAAGAAGTTTAATTAATGGTTACTCTGGATGGTAAGAGGTAGCGCTAGACTTAGTGCCTTGAGAGGAGAGGATAGAAGAAGCTGACGAGTTGAGGAAAGCTTGGTGCAGATGGAGGTGGCAAACTCATTCTATCCTCATCAGAGTGAGGAGTAGGGGTTTTGCGAGAAGTATGCAAGCCTTCTGAGTMTTATAGAAGAATGTATAAGAAAAGCCATCAACAGAACCTAAGAAGCTGCAGAGAAGGCCTCAAGATGGCTGTGGATCATGAGGGACAGGAAGTGGGTAGCCTGGGAGAGATTCTGATGTTGAAAAACTCAGAACCCACTTTGACGCCATCACTGATGTTTTGTCTGAGTGCATCAGCAGATTATGCAGCAACTATGGGAGTGGTGATTAGGGAGTGGAAACCTGGAACATGGAGAGGCTTTAGTAAAAGACAAAAGTCAAACTGAGTAATTAAAAAACTAAACACTAATATAAAGACCATAACTAGGATTTATTTACCATCAAATATAAATAATTTTCTTTGTTTGGGTTTAAAATCATTTGTTGTAATTGTTGCTAAGGTTCTGAATGTTTGGTTTCATTTTAAACCCAGAATGCTAAATGCATTATTTACATAACCTTTTTCAGAAGTGTTCTTGTTGTTTACGTGTCAGTGGTGGTGTTCTCTTATAACCACCTATTCCTCTGTCTCGTACCCTCCTCCCCCTGATTCCAGCAGCCGTTCCTGGAGGTGAAGGTTCTCGAGACGACCAAACGCTCTCGGAGAAACCTGGGCCTGGACTGCGACGAGCACTCCACCGAGTCCCGCTGCTGCCGCTACCCTCTGACGGTGGACTTCGAGGCGTTCGGCTGGGATTGGATCATTGCCCCCAAGCGCTACAAAGCCAACTACTGTTCTGGCCAGTGCGAGTACATGTTCATGCAGAAGTACCCGCACACCCACCTGGTGCAGCACGCCAACCCTCGCGGCTCCGCGGGGCCCTGCTGCACCCCGACCAAGATGTCCCCCATTAACATGCTTTACTTCAATGACAAGCAGCAGATTATTCACGGCAAGATCCCGGGCATGGTGGTGGATCGATGTGGCTGCTCTTAGGATGTGGAAGGAGACACACACACCTTAAATAATAATTATAGCTCTTCATCAAACCACCCAAAATCCTTACGGAGATCTTCCCTTCAGCACCAGATTTCACTTTTGCTCTGCTACAAAAACATCCAACTGAATTTCATTTTGTTTTCAGTAATTAAATTGATTCTGACTGTATAAAAAATTATAAATGAAATAAGAATCAAAAAAAAAGGAACTGAGTGATGGAAATACAGTATATTACAAATTATTTGAAAAGGGTGTACTCGTGGAGCAGTTTCAGAAAAAGGTAAATGAGACAAAACTGTCATAGAGTATGTGTTAGTTTTGTGATTTTTGTTTTTGTTTTTTGGCATCTTTGTGAAGTTAGTGGAATGTGATGAAAGGAGACATAAACATATTTCATGAAGCATTGTCAGTTAGAAAATACTCTTGTTTTTACAAAAACATTTACTTGAGCTCAAAATTTTGGCTACTTAAATATCTGCAAGGGGGCATGATCAAAATTATTTTGCAATCTATCACTTTAAAAATGTAGAAAACATGACACATTCGTCTGGGCAGAGATTGTGACGAGGTTTAATTTTCTCTTTCAAAGCAAGTCAGTACAGTTACACTCAAAAAACAGATGTAGTGGATTTCWTTTWAAAAATATGTCACTCAGCTGAATGCGTTACTTTTACTCAGTTCTGTTGAGTGGAACCGACATTTTAAAAATTAAATCCACTACATCTGTTTTCACTATAAAAGTAGATAACTTGTTTTAATGGATCGTGCATTGTAGATGTAGACTCATCTTGTAGTTCTGGACGGGAGAAGAAGAGCCAGTCCAGCAGGATGACCACAGGCAGTTTTTTTTCATCCAGAACATAAAATATATAAATTTTAAAGGGATCCATGATTAGTTGTAACATTAGACTTTATTTGATAAACATTTATTTTAACTAGAAAATAAAGACTGTAAAAATACTGTAGGATGTTTAGTTTTGTAAATTTTTAGAAATATATCAACACGGATGGAGCCATTTTATTTACATGCAAAGCATTCTGGGTAAATGATGACGTGGATAGGTCCTCAGTGTGAGGCTGCTAGTGAGCTATATCCACCCTGAAGGTTAATTTTGGACAATATCTGATGATCGACTCTTTTAAATGAAACCAGAGAGCGTTGACAGAGAGGAGAAGGTAGAAATGACTCAGCCTGKAACTGAAAATATRGATGGAGGACAACAGAGCTGCTTCATGGAAGAAGAACCTCAGCTTAGCCTGTTAGCCTTCGAGTTAGCGCCAACGCTATATTGCCTTATATGTATTAGCTAAGCGCTAGCACAACAAAACAAGCTAAACTGAGGTCCTCCATCCATATTTTCAGTTGCAGGCTGAGTCATTTTTGCATTCCCCTCTCTGTCATGTGGATGGAGGACCTCAGTTACGAGAGGAGAATGTGTAGCGCTGAGCTAATACATATATATGGYGATAGTGTCGGGGCTAATGCTAAAGCTAACAGGCTAAKCTGARGTTCTTCTTCCATGAAGCAGCTCTGTTGTCCTCCATCYATATTTTCAGTTMCAGGCTGAGTCATTTCTACCTTCTCCTCTCTGTCAACGCTCTCTGGTTTCATTTAAAAGACTCGATCATCAGATATTGTCCAAGATTAACCTTCAGGGTGGATATAGCTCACTAGCAACCTCGCACTGAGGACCTATCCACATCATAATTTACCCAGAATGCTTTGCGTATAAATAAAATGGCCCCGTCCGTGTAATATATTTTCAACTTTTAGTTTAAAAATTATAAAAACTAAACAGCCTAAAGTATTTTTACAATCTTTATTTTACAGTTAAAATATATGTTTATTAAATAAAGTTTAATATTACTACTAATCATGGATCCCTTTAAGGTAGATGTTTTAAAAGGGTACATAAATGTAGTTTTTTCTATTCACAGGGCTTTAAGAAATCGTTAAGATTGTTTGTGTTCTGTGAAGAGATTATAAACAACCTGCTGCAGATAGTTCTTTGAACAAACTCAATCTGGAGAAATATAATTTAATTCTGACTGTATTGATGAGCTAATGACTAGCCAGAGCACAGAGGAAGCTGAAGTGGATTTCTGTCATCTTAATACAACTTCAGGCCCAAAAATTTCATAACCRTTCATGCAGACACTAATTTGTAAATTTTAAGATTTATTCTAATTTTGTGTAAAGTTGCAAATGTGAAGTTTCAACGTCCTTTTTGCATGGGCAGGTCGTGGCAGTAGCAGCTACCTGTAGCACTTCTGGCAGAAAGTATTTCTTCCAAGAATAACCCATGTAATGTGAAAATGACAGCAGTGTTTCTCCCATGCATGTTATTAGATTTCTGATATAAGACACTTTGGAGACTCAAACTTGCAAGAAATAGACAAACGTTTAGCAGCAGTCTCAGTGAGTTTTGAGTGTTTGCGGTGAATCATGCAAACAAATACAGCAAAAACTACATATAAACTTTAGAAACAATGTGATACTACATTTAGCTTGTTAGTTCTGTCAGAGTAAAACTCTACATTCCCAAACCAAGGCCTTGCCAAAAGCTATCTACAAAAAGTAAATTAATTGTTTCTAACCTTTCCACAGAACCTTATGCCAATTGATCAGTACTGTTGTTGTAGGACAGAACACTTAACACATAAAATCAATACCTTAGCAGAAACACACAGAGGTCATGCTGTCATGCTGACTGTAGCACAAATCATAATAGAAGTTTACATGTTTGTATGTGTTTGTATCTTTGTAAAAATATACCTAAATAAAGACGGAGCGGTAGTTACAATACTTATAGTTCATAAATGTTTTTTCAGTGCTAGTTTCAAAGACAAAAAACACTATTTTAACAACAGTACTGTGTTAAAACTTTTACCTTTCATAGCTCCCAGAATACTACATTACGTTGTGATTGAATAAGCTCAACATATACAGTCTTTAGCTTAGAGAGTGTATTTGATTGCATTTTGAAATGCCCCCATCCACCTTAATCTTAACCATGTCATCACCGTCATAATGGAGAAAACAATGTTAGTGCTTAAACTCAGAGTAGATTAGTATGCTCGAAGCTTGTCTTTGTCTCCTGGATGTCAAAGCAAAGATATCCTTTTGTTATAAACGAAAGCACTATGCTGTTGGATAAAGTGAGAGCCTTCTGACATTATGTATAAATGATATATGTATATATTAAAAAAAGGGGTACAAAAACCTTTTTTTTGGGGGGCACTCTACCTTACCAACAATAAATTTTGCACTATGGGACGTTCATGGCGTGAGGTGTTGTATACGTTTTACCAAGCACAAGAGAGCTTGTACAGTATAGGATTTAAAAAAAGAGTTATTCAAGTTTCTGGTGATAAGATGTAAACTAGGCGGGAAAAAAATATCACTTCTTTTTGATACCATCACACTTTCCTGACTTTGTCTGAAGCGGGGGCCTGTCCATACAACCCAAATACTTCGGTCCAGTCTTGAACCTGGAAAAAGCAGCCTGAAAGGCCTCCATTTCCACTTTGGCTAATATGCGTAAAGAAATGCTTTAACAGGAAATGTCCCACCACCAACAACAACTTTAATGTGTTGCCGTTTTAGAAGTAATCCATCTTTTTATGAGCAGTCTGTCGTGTATAGACATGTTTTTGCCTGTGTGTGTATTTTAAGTGAAAAATGAGAGAAGTATCCAGGGATTGTTAGCCAAAGTAGACGATGACACGTTGTGTGCTGTTAACTTTCTGATTGCAGGAATATGCTAGATCATTTCAAAGTGAGAAATAATAAAAAGAAAAAAGGCTGGTTTGGGAGCTGTGTGGAAACCAGTTCAACCGATCAGTTGCTATTTATTACTTATGATGAATTTCAAAGTCTGTCTACCTCACTTTAGCCTTCTAAAAAGCCTTGCTTTTAAATAAAAACTAATTCAGCTGGAAATCAGTGCAAACTCTTAATTCCCAAGAGCCCCCCCCCCCCCCACCCCCCTCCAAAAATGTAAAGCACAGGGTCCCCTCGCTCTCAGGTTCAGGTTGTTGACAGAATGACCGGCGGTCATCAAAGAAAAAAATTAGGTGTGCCCGTATCTCTGGCTTGACTTACAGTCAAAGCTGCTGAGAAGTTGTGTTTTGTGCTTTTAAACTGGTATGTCTAAAATGTTATTTTAATTTTTTTTCCATATAAATATATGAGAGTAATTATCTATGTAGGTACATACCCAAATGTTAAACTTTATCATGTTTTGGACAGGTTCACCGCTTCTAACGTGCTTCTCTCTTTCCCTCTTTATTCCTCTGTTCTTTGTGTAGTAACAAAAGATATCACCCCAACTTTGTAGTTCAATGGTTGTGCATAACTGTATTATTATTTTTTGTTTTGTTTTGCCTTTTGTTGTTTATTTACTGTAATTTTTCTTTTGTACAATAAATCATTTATTTAGCTTACTAGGTTTTGTTGTTCCTTCTTCCTCGTTGATCCAAGTTGTAAACTGCAACAAGCATAAAAATGTAGAAAGATGGCTGGATAACATAAATGTCACAGTTTTAGGAGGTACAGACCTAGAATGCTGAAGCAAATATTGTTTGAAGAAATTAATATAAACTTTATTTTTTTTAAATAAAATAAAGAGTGGCACCTAAACTTACACAACTCAAGGATTGGCACAAGGAACTACCACAAGGAAGACGAGTAGTAGATGCTGTAGATGCACTAAGGCTGATGGGAGGAATGATTGCAGCTGTGACTAACTAGGGATGAAGAACAGGTGAGATGGGGAGGCAGGCAGAGGGAGCGTGAATATAAATACAAGAACTGAATGAAAACATAAAGCACAAGAAACAAACTGAACACATAAAAATACAGAAACCAACACCAGAATATCAAAAAGAAATAAAAAATAAGTAGATCCTCTGGACGAGTTCTTCAATGAAACATTTCATCTCTTCTTCAAGAGACTCCTTCAGTCTGAGGAGTTTAATGTGAACTTAGGTAAACTTAATGTTTTCTTTTTGATTTTTCTACTTGGATTACTGAGATGCATCAGGACATAACAGCGCAGTAAAATCAAAAAAGAAAACTAAACACTGAAAACCTGTGATCCTGACAATAAATGTTCCACAACATTCAACCATGATCACCTGCTTGTTGAATGCAGCACAATCAGATTTTCAGATTTCACTCATGTTTATTTTTTGGTTTGCTAACTTTGTTTTATCCTACATGTACTACAAATAACACACAAATGCACAAAAATTATCCAATATTATCCAAATTACGCATCATAATGACTTCCTGTTGCCATCGTCTCAGAACTGGCAAAAACCTCTGTCACCCTTTTGTTTGGGGAAATCTGGCCAAAATCTGATGGGCAAAAAGCATCCAACTTGGAAAAGAGGTCGAACAACTTAACTATGAACTCAAACTGTGGAGCAGAAAAACACTTTCTGTTTGGAAATTAAGTTTCACATCAAACATCACTGGTAAAGAAATGTAAACAACAGACCACATTTATCAATTTAATATCCATCTTCAAGGTAAAAAAAAAAGAGCTCATGCAAAAACAAGAGAAATGTAAAGCTTTATAAAACAGAGTCTGAGATTGGCTGCACTTTAAAATGGCCAAAAATTGATCTTGGTCCTAATGTGAAAAGTATGTTCATTAATGCAATGTAATTAAAATAAATAATTGGCTTTGATTATTAACACCCATCTCTTCAATGTTTACAAAAAAACTGTTAATTTTGTTGAAAACTTCTCCTTTTATTACTCTTATTTGTTGCCATTGTGCACAGTTTAGGTCAAAACATGATAAAACTCTAATTCACTGGTTATTTTCTTGTCCTTTAAAAAAGTAGAGAACAAAAGAAAAGCTCTGAGTTTTGTTTTTATTGGTTTATATTCTCAAGGAGCATAAAGACACGTATGCA